GGAAAGTAACTCAACTGAAACATTAAGCTCACCTGAATGTTTGGAGCTAACAAACTTGGTTGATCTGTGAAAAATATAACCATCCTTCCTATTTCCTGCTTCAACAATATTCTCCTCTCTCGATGTATGGCATCACATGATTGCAACGCTTGCTCATGAACCTCACTGAAACATAGACCGAAACAAATATGCCTATAAGTTCAAGAGTTTATAACCCAACAAGTACAATATAGCACCACAGAGTTAGATGGTGCTAATGAAACTATAACAATTTTCTTCAAAATTTAGAGTTACCCGATCATCTTCTCAACTTGCTTTGCAACACTGTATTCCAGATCAGCCTCCTTCTGCTTAGTCCGGCCAGACTTTGCCATTTTCTTTGATTCTAGTACATGGGGTAAAACATACAACTGGTAGTCCTCGTGCAATAGAATGTACTGCATGGTTAAGATAATATAGTCATCTGATGTACAAGGTTATAAAATTTCATCAGCTAAACTTCTTATCAGAGACCATCTGAACACACCTCATCCCGGAATAACGTCACAACTAAGTTTTCCTTCAGCACCACCTGAAACCCAATGGGAATAAACCCATTGAAAAAAAGATGCATCACAAACAATATTAGAAATAGATGAACTACTTTTTATATCCTAGCCCAATTTTATTAATACTAATTTACCAAGAAGTGTTTGAAAGAAAGCATATGAATCTAGATTACTGAATAAACAATATTCCAAATGAAAACAATGGCTGGAAGAAAGCTAGTTTTAGAGGTTAAAGGCAAAGAGATGCAGATCATTTCTTATGAAAAACCGAATTGATAAGCCAAGCTAGGTAACTACATTGAATATATGGAGGATGTGCCATTGTGAATCTGATCCTTGTAGAATTGGCTATTTATAACTCTAGCAATAAATCCCAATCGATAACAAAAGAAGAGAAATTCATACCATGGCTATATCAATGCTAGTAACACGAAGAAGTTCATTGGGACAAACAAGATACCCAAGAAGCACCCATTCTCGGTAAGAAGTAACATTTGCAAGGTCTTGTGCTCTCTGCAGGAAACAGGAGCCAAAACTATATGTAGTTATTAAAGCAAACACCTCAAAGTACGGGGTTGTAACACAACTCCTATGTAGCAGTTCAGTGAATCATTTTGCTCTTTCATTCCATTCATAATTACCATGGGATGAGCAGAATTTGTAAGTATATCGGGGTATCGAGGATGATATGGGCTCAAAAATCCCTCGTTTCTCAGCTTCCTCGTATCTGCAGAGAGAAAAATACTGGGTCCTACAGCCTCTAAGACCTGAAAAAACGGAGATATCATTCATAAGTAACTCGTTATCATTGAATAATTAGCAAAGTGTATACTGTTTGACCTTAATTTGGATATAGTATTTGCAATCTCATCTCTGGCTATAGTGTGATGTCACACTAACACTTAACAAACAAATAACCAACGTAGAATGAAACAAAAATTTAAATGCTAACCTCTCCAATTCGCGGGCTGACGAAATTCAGGTCCTCCTGTAATCCTTTTAATGGGGGATCAAAAGAGTCTATGAATTGAACCAAACTGAATTGCAGAAAAAAGACAAAATGAGCAATACAACAAAATGTTAAGGTCATTAACATGGGCGTATAGATATAAATGAAAGGGCACAGCAGTGTGAAAAACCCGAAAAACCCTTACCGATGATAAAAATCACAGTCTCGGTCATTTCTTGACAGCGCATGCAAAAGGTTGTACACTTGCAGCATCATTTTCCTCGGCATCTACATCGAAAGAACAAATACATTCTTACAGACTAAACATTGAGTAAGTACGTGGATTCCCTTACCCCACAACTAATTCATATATCCATGTGCAAAAAAAAAAAAGACAAGGAACAAGATCTCAGCATACCTTCTCAGAGAAAAGATTGACTCGGACAAATGCACAAAAGAGATCCATGAACGCATGCAGTATAAGTGAATTCTGATGAGGCTGCAAAATACTGCACCGAGTTATGAGATAATCATGAAGACACCTAACTACCATTAACAATGTTATTCCATCCCCACAAAAAGAAAATATTTAAAAAGAAAAATTTAGAAGAAATAACCCAAGTCTAACAAGTTTTTACGTGTTTTGGCTCAAGGTTTATGATCAGAAACAAGTTCTCGTTAAATTCAAAGGGGGGAGGGGAATGATTTTTCAAAAGTGATGCACGATAAAAAAAATCCTTCCAGCAGAAGAGAGACAATGACTCACCAGCAAGGTAATGACTGTGCTGCTAAGGTCCAATATAAGCCGTAGCGCCTGTTCCCGGAAAGCCATCAGATCCAGAAGCAGCTGATTCATGAAGGAAAAAACCATGACAAAGTGAGAATATAAAAAAGCATCATATTAGACTTACAATATACTGGCATTTCCAGATACACAAGATTGAAGGCAAACAATCAACCATCTACTGCATTGTCAGTTTAGAGTTACCTGTATCCATGGCTCTAAACTCTGTAAATGAAGTTCAGCACTGCCATGCAAGCCATCTAAAGCAAACTTATCGACCTGTACAAGCATTGTTGAATCACAAAGACAAAAACCAAAATGCCTGATATCTAACAAAGAAAAAAGGAAGAATCATTCCTTACACGTTCAAGTTGCAATTTGCTAAAATGCTCGGGAAACTTTCTCGAGAGCAATATGCATATCCGAGGATGGTTAGGAAATACACCCGCTTTCCAAAACGCTTCAGAGAATACGTGACCGACAGGATCAGGGAAATCCAAGATTTGGTTCAGCCTATACATCTTGGCCATGAGACCCTCTGCAACTTCAATCATTTGAACCACCCACTGTATATTCAAAGCCTTGGAAGAACCACCAGAGCTATGAACATGTCCATCAGAACCCGTGTTTTTTGAGCTTCTGGATGACATTGTGGCAGCCATTTCAGGCCCTAAGTACTCTGTCCATCTCGAAGGACCCTCCCATTCCCTCGATCTTAATGAAGTCGGTGATATTGATTCGTCATGGGAAGAATAATATTGCCGGGATCTCGCCATGAATTGCCTATCTAGCAGAAAAATCTCTGCAACTCAGAAACTCTATTTCAGAATCACACACTACACACAGGTCCTATACCCAGTTTCTTGCATTTTCCTTCAATACACGAGTTGCAATTTTTTGCGACTCGGCAAAACTCCACTGTATCCAAAAGCGTATTCACCGTACAGAAGAAAAATCTCGGAAAACCAGTAATCGCTTGCAAGGAAAATCAGGGCAAAACATGGGAGAGAAGATAAACCCCAATTGCATCCGATCGAGAAACTGTGTGAATTTTTGTAGCGATGAATCGGGATTGACTCTCTTACCGCAATTTTCTCGGCAAACAAACAGGAGGAACTCAAAAAACGAAGGCAAAGTATGAGTTCCGTGACGATCGAAGTTACCTCAAGAAGCTGCACTGGTGATATTGCAAATGGGAAGCATCAGGAGATTACTGCTGAGCCTTCGAGCTCAGATCTGAGTTTCTGCAACAGCTCGGAGACGGAGACGAAGACGACAAAAGCAGCCGGAGAGAGAGAGAGAGAGACTTTAATCCGACTGTGAGCCCAAGAATTTCTAAATTCGGGTCACATTTAAGGCAGACTAGTCATGGAAAAAAAATATAATTTGTCTTCACATTTTACAATTTCAAAATGGTTTTATTTTGCACACAAAATTATTTATGGACACAATGTATTTTTTTTTTAATTTCAAAATATTTATAGTTTTAGAGATTATTTTTTATTCTAAATAATTATCATTTTAGATTTTCTAGATAATTGTTAATAAAAATTTCTAATTTTTATCTTTAATTAAAAATATCGAATTTCAATAGAATATTAATGTGAATATGATTTAATAAGGATATATATAATTTTAAAAAAAAATTTAAAAAATTGTGAAAAAATCTAAAACAATAATTAAATTGAAACGGAGGGAGTAATTCAGAAGATGACATAAACTAAAAATTACAATTATATATATAAGTGAAAATGAAATAGTTTTTTTTTTACAATCGAGAACGATCCTAAACAATTATCTCAGGTAAAAATATATTTTTTTTTTCAATTTTGAGGACCCTCATATTTCGGTATTTCTTTTTCATTTTATTTTATTTTATTTTTTCTAGTTGTTTTATTTTGAAATCTTCAATTACCATATGCTATAGATACAGATTTGTGTAACATAGATATCAAATTAACCAATTTTTAATTGTTTATCAATTTTTTCCGGTCAATTTTTTTATTAAAAATATATTGCAAAGAGTTTTTATTGTAAAAAGGTTATGTTAGTGAAATCTTTAATTATGTTAATATTTGATTTGTTAATATGGTTAAAATATGTTTAATCCATCTTTAGATCAGATTCCGTATGAAATATAATTTCTATTTATTCGAATTTTATTTTGTTTTATTAATCAAAATAAAAATGACTTGTAGATAAAAAAAAAATAGATAATAAAAATAAGCAAGCTTTAAAAACTGTTATATATGTTGCACCATTCGATCATATTGCACACTTATCTACGCATTTATATTTAAAAACTAATAATTCAAAATCCTGAATATAAAAATACGATTGATTTTTTATTTTTCCAAAATGGTTTGGTATTTATATATTTACTTATATAAAGAAAAATTGTTATTTTTACACAGATAAAGACTCTGGTTGTGGTGGTTGGAATCCAAGTTGTAAGAATCATAACAAATGAGGATAATTTAGATTTTTTTTGTTAAATAATTTAAATTTATTTTATTTGCTGTTGAACCAATTAAATTAAAATATTTTGCCATAAACAGAAAAACATATGAAGATTTAGCAAAAAAAAAATGAAAATATTAATAATTGCGACCTATGGACTGACACCACCTTTTAGATGTAATAATTTTCCATTATTTTTACCGTATCTGATTCACTGTTATTAATGCATGATTAAAATAGTAATGACATATGACGTCATCGTTGACGTCAGCGTATCCAAACCCGGTTCGGTTCAGTAAACCGTAGCACTTGCCCAATTCCAAGGATAACCATATGATAATTGATCACATATGCTAACAGTTTTTATTCATTTAAACAAAAAAAAAACCACTAAAGCCCTCTTCTAATTTTAATTAATGAAATAAAAAATATCACATAAATACCTCAACTTTTAAAAATATATATAAAATAAATACTTTAACTTTTAATTTGATAATATAATATTCCAAATATTAGAATATATTAAACTAATACCTCAATTCCTAACATAAAGGCAATTTTCAACAAAAAAAAATCTTTATAAATTTGTTAAAAAATGTCTAAATTGATTTGGATATTGATTGGAAATTGGCCTCAATCTCAGAAGTTGGTATATTAATTTGACACAATTTTCGGAAATTGGTATATTAATTTATGGAGTTTTTCTTTTAAAAAAACCAGTATGTATATATATATATATATATGTGTGTGTGTGTGTATATATATATATTAGGGTTGACTGAAAAGGAAACTTGAATTGCAAGATACATATGTTTGGTTATAACAAGCTTGGCTTCCAAAACAAGCAAAAAATGATTCCAAAATCTTTTGCCTTCCACTAAGGACATATGATTTGATTATTACATTATTATAGATTTGGATTTTTTGATTTATCAACCAAAAAAAAAAGATTTGGTTTTTCCTCATGAGGTGTAAACATCAAACAAAAAACACCATTTCTTGTAAGCAATTATTTTAAATCCACGTGTGTATTATTCGCAACTACGTTCGGACAAATCTTGAAACCTTCCGACAAGGATCTTCAGATCCCAGAAGATTCTAGAATTTTCCAGCTTCTCCATTCGATTGTTCCATTTGCTCATTTTTTTTATAATGGTAAATGCATTAAAAAGTCAAAAAATCGTTACTGTACAAGCCGATATTAAGTCGAAATTAAGCCTAAAGGCATAGAATTCCTGCCAAAGAGAATGCAAAAGTGGAATAACAAAGAACATGTCGGATCAATCAGCCGAAGAATTGGATTGATTGGATCAGTAATGGAGAGCGAGACATCCTCCAGAAATGTCGTAGTCGTCACCAATTTGGATTCGCTGGAAATAATTATGTCCCTTATCAGCTTGTCAACCGCCAGTCGGAGAGCTGCTATCGTTTTGGATTCATTCTGAAATAACCTGACGTTTCGTTCCTGCCAAATTATGTATGCCATCGCGTGCAGAACCAACTTGGTGAGCTCCCTCCTTGTGCAGAGTTCATCGTCAAGTTGGTTATGCAACCGGTCTGTACACTCTTCAAGGGATGATGGATAAGAGCTATAGCATGCAGATGCAAAGAACTCCCAGATTGCGTTGCTGAATTCGCAGTCGAAGAAGAGATGGTCATGAGATTCTGGAGCTTGCTGGCAAAGAACACATGTAGTGGTTGCGGTAATGCCCATCTTTGAAGACGATCCAAAGTGGGTAATCTGCCAAGAAAAAATTGCCATAAGCTAAAGTTAAGTCTCGGAGTAGCAAACCTGGACCAAACTAGCCGAAACCATGGAACTCTCGGTGCACGATCCCTTATTAGGTCCCAGGTTTATGCCGGAGAGAACTGCGTACTGAAAGAGTCAATCGCTGTCTTCCATTCGAATCTGTCCGGGCCAGCATCCACTGTTGGAGGAAGAATGACTGTGATCCTGGATAACACAACTTGGACTGCCGAAGATCGAGCTCCGGGAAAATTCCAGTTTGAACCTCTAACAGCCTCAGCGACAGTAGCGTATAGGGTAACTCTGAGAGCACGACGGCTTGCAGCCCCAATGCGCTCTATAAGTGGCCCATCCCTGTCCAGTCATCGTGCCAAAAATTTGCTCATTTTGGTTCTTTGTTCTTGGAATCTCATCTAAAAGATGGTTTACTAAAAGAAAATCTTCTTCGAAATCTTTCTTGAAAGATTTAAACTATTAGTTTTAGAGGGAAAAGGGGTTTCAAAAGGGTTTTACATTTTTGGGCCAATGTAGTGAGCAACGAGTTGGCAATGGCGTGACTCGAACGAGTCCAGGAACGAGTGGCCATTGTTTTGTTTTCCTGTCCGATATATATGGTATTGTTTTCACTTTTGAGATTTTTATGCGTTTCACTGAAAAACCCAAAACATATCCAATGCATTGAACCATGAAAGGCCAAAGCTTTTATTCTCTCCATCAATCAATAAACATGGCTTTTAAAAAAAAATACTGAATCATTTCAGACAGAAACATCGACGATCTGAACTTTCGCGTTTGCTCTTGTCTTGATCCGAGTCTTGGTTTGCCCGGGAAACGATTTCGAAAGATTTCGTTCCTTAGTGATTTCGGAAAGTTTCAGTGCTTGGCATCTTCTTCTTCACAGAACTTGGTGTACTTCTCCGAGTCCATCAGATTGTTCAACTCGCCTGAGTCACTCAGCTCCACCTTGATGATCCATCCCTCCTCATAAGGGCTTGAGTTCACCTGTGAATCCAACAAGGGCAGTAAAAAAAACGTCACTTTTGGACGAAAAATTCACCAATGGGCATCTCACCCATGAAGCAAGGGCAGAAAAAAATAGTCACTTTTCGACAATGGGCATCACCCATGAATCAAGGGCAGTAAAAAAAATAGCCACTTTTCGATGAAAAATTCACCAATAAGCACAAGGGCAGTAAAAAAAATAGTCACTTTTCGATGAAAAATTCACCAATAAGCACAAGGGCAGTAAAATAGCGGTCACTTTCAATGAAAAATCACAATAAGCATCACCCACGAATCAATGGCAGTAAAAAAATTGCAACTTTCGATGAAAAATTCACCAATAAGCATCACCCATGAATCAAGGGCAGTAAAAAAAAGGTCACTTTTCGATGAAAAATTCACTAATAAGCATCACCCATGAGTCAAGGGCAGTAAAAAATGTCACTTTTCGATGAAAAAATCACCAATAAGCACCACTCATGAATCAATGGCAGTAAAAGTTGCAACTTTCGATGAAAAATTCACCAATAAGCATCACCCATGAATCAAGGGCAGTAAAAAATAGTCACTTTCGATGAAAAAATCATCAATAAGCATCACCCATGAGTCAAGGGCAGTAAAAAATAGTCACTTTGGATGAAAAATTCACCAATAAGTATCACCCATGAATCAATGACTTGATCAAAACATGGCATTTGCATCAAATGGAGCAACCATATGATCAAACAAAATGCAATCATGCAGGAAGAATGTGATATACCAAGGAGAAAACAAATGATCATTGAGAAAAGAAACTAGTCATTGAAACTCAGTGTATGAAATGGAAAAAAATCCCATATAAATATTAAATACAAAAGTTTGTTTGTTATCAATTACCAGATCAATACACAAATTTTAAAATTTTCACAAAAATACACAAACTTTTTCTCGGTGTCACAATTAAAATCGTGAATTTTACGTAAAACTCTGAAAAAACACGACATTTGACGTTGTTTCTAGTTTGATGTATAGTTTTTTCAGATTATTTGTAAAATTTGATGCATTTTTTGGGAATTTTAAACTTTGTGTATTTATCTGGTACAGATCATATTGTAAACCAATGATGAATTAGATCACGTGAAAAATAAAGGGTATATCATCCGGGTTAATGTAATGACGCTATTACGATTCTTTCGAGGGTAAGTAAAAGAGGAACTCACCAGGGCCGGGGAATCATTCAGCTTCTCGTTGATTTCCAACACCTTACCAGAGACCGGAGAATTGATATCACTGGTAGCTTTGACGCTTTCCACCGCCCCAAAGCTCTCACCTTTCGACACCGAACGACCCACCTCGGGCAATTCCACATAGACGACATCACCCAAATGGTCTTGCGCGTGATCCGTTATCCCTACAACGGCTTTCTTCCCATCAACCTTCACCCACTCGTGTGAATCAGCGTATTTCAGATCCTTCAGAATCACTAGAAATCAAGACAACGATAGGCGAGGTGAATCAGACAAGACAACATTTGAAACAGAACCGAGAGCATACATACACCTGTGAATCTCTTATGTTATCTCCATATATACAAAGGGTGCATCGAGCAGAACATCGTTCCACGATAAACAGATTTACATAGGCAAAAAACGGCTGAGAAAGGAGAGGCTAAACATGAAACAAATTCGATATCTTTATCTAAAACCACAAATGCAATGAAAGATCATACATACCCTACACTATGCACCAATAGTAAAACCTAATCTCAAAGAAGCAGAAGGAAGCAAAGATCAATTTCCTTCATCTTTCAAGTTTCCTTACACTTTTACAGTGAAATAGAAACGATCCAGCATCAGAAAGAAGAACGATCCCAACATTTACACGACAGGATTTCATTTACACATCCCACATATCCACTTTGGGAGGTGAACAAGAACACAATCATCCGCTAGGCCAAATCAACCTCAAGATTTCCCAGTTTCAATACATATACGATCACACAATCCTTATTTCATCCACAAGCAATCGTATTTCAGAGACAAAACCTCGTGGAATCAGATAGAACTCTGAGATTCTTCCAAGAATCAGAAACCATAGGCAACGAACAGACGATATTCAGAGCAACAAGGATCATCAAATCTCACGTTTCGATTATAACCTGATGATATGGAGAAAAACAAACATAAACCCACCGAAACGAAAATCAGAGATCAAAACGCCGCCATAATCAATCCTCGATCTACGCCAGCGAGACAAAAATACCCAGAAAAGCTTTCATCAGACCAAGCAAAACAAAAAACAGAACACAAAGATCGAGATTCACCGGAAGAAAAGCCTCGTTGGAAGACGGAGATCCTGAGGTGAGAAGCAACCCTAGAAGCCCACATCAATCTCGAAGCCATTTTCGTGGATCTCGCGAGAGAGAGAGAGAGACGATGTGCACAAACAGTGTGTTCGAGTGAGCGCACTCATCGAACGCGTTCTTATTTTATATTGCACTCTTCCGCATAAGGGTTGGTGGGTTTTTGCCTCGTTTGCTTTAAAACGAATATTATATATAATATTTTCCAGACAATATTATATTTTTTTGGTATGATAAATAAAGTAAAACTTATAAAAAAAATTTACACTTGTAAAATGGGTGTAAAACAAATTAATAAACTTTTTACTAGTTAAATTTATTTTTTAAAATTTATAAAATATATAATTATAATTTTTAAACTTATTATTTGATATTAAAAAATCTCGACAATGTTTGATTTATATAGAAATTTAGAAATTATAGTGATATATTTTATAAGTTTGGAAATTATAGTGATATATTTTATAAGTTTAGAAATAAATTTGTTAGGCAAAAAGTTTATAAATTTTTTTTTTTATCATTTTATAAGTTCAAATTTTTTTATAGGTTTTTTTCTAACAAAAAAAGGAGAAACTCTCTCTTGCAAAAGGAAAATACAGAATATTGGTCATTTCTGTTGTAAATCATAACATAAGAACAAACATTGGTTAAAATATTGTAACAGTATTGTGGACTGCCCATGTAAGGGTCGCATTTCCTATTTATTATTTATTATAAATTCGAGATGCATATTTTTATTTGATAGAGAAAGAATAATACTCCTCCGTTTCAAAATATTTGTAGTTTTAGATTATTTTATATGTTTTAAAATATTTGAAATTTTATATTTTAAGATATTTTTATATTAATATATTATTAATGATTGTATTATTTTTTTCGAAATAATATTTATGCACAATTTACAACGTCACATTTTACGTTAAGATACCTAAATTACCCGTCAAACCCGAATAAACCGGGATCCGGTAAAGTAAACCGGAGCCAATGCTCGGGTCAATTCCCGGTTTCAAAAGAATTGAATAATATTATTTAATTTTATTCTAATTAATACTTCAAACACGCAATTTCATATAAAAGAAAAATAACAATTGGACGTGCCTGTGCATATATCGATGCGTGAAAAAAGGAAGGAGACGAGGGAAACTGAAACTGATCGGAGGATGGGACCGTGCGATCGGCTGCAGGAGGCGTTGATGGAGTGTCACCGGCGGGTTCCGGCGGTGGCGGCGCGGCGGAGGACGTGCGGACATCTGAACAGGGCGTTGGCGGAGTGCATCGTGTCGGAAGCCTGTCCGGAGGAGTCAGAGGCGGTGCGATCGCTCTGTTCCAGCTCCGGAACCCGACTCAAGCGCCGTCAATGTAACGACGCTCAGTTCTCTCTCTCCCTCTGTCTCTCTCGCCATCAACAGCGACTTGAGGATCGATGATTTTGGCGGCGATGACGGCGAGATTCGGCGCGGTTGTATTGTATGTCCGATTCGTGTTCGTCGCGAGCCAGTGAGTTCGAGATCTTAGGTTCTCTTCTTCGGTTGTTTGCCGCGCTCCGGTATGGATAATTTTCTAGGGTTTCCGGATGCTGAATCATTGTGATCTATTGGGAAATAGAGGATTAGAGACGAAACTATTGAAATCAGGATCGATACTCTAGGGTTGGGGATAAAATATGTGTTCTATACATGATGATCCTGCAGCCTCTATATGGGAGAATTTGTGGATGTTGCGTAGATGAGCTGTAACTGTTGATTTGGTTCTTCTTCTTCTTGATGGGGGATTGTTGAGACGATGAAATTCTTAATGTACTTGATGGGGGAATCTTTGATGGTTGCCTGGATTAAGACTAGGGTTCTAATTTGATGGTCGGATTGTGTTATCAAGTAAGGTGCTTTACCTGTTCATTGTCTAATTGGTTATGCCAATCAAACAGACTCGCGATCTTGGCTAATGGATCGAACATCAGGGCAAAACCTCTCTCTCTATGATTTTGTCCTGAACTGAGTCAGGGTTAGCTGGATTACATGTGGACTGCTAGCCAGATCTTCACAAGTGGGGCTTCCAAACCATGGTCTGATTTGGTTCCAGAGTCGGTTTCGGGTAAGGTGGGAATGGGAGATTAAGTATATGGTAGAGGAAGGTTAATTGCTCAAACCTATGATTAATCCTTCCCCC